GAAGAGCACCTCTGGTCACTGCCAACTGCTAGGTGGGAGACTTATCTCCTGGTTTAGAAAGAAGCAGAACTCTATCTCAACCAGTACAGCAGAAGCTGAATACATTGCAGCTGGGAGTTTCTATGCTCAGCTACTCTGGATGAAGCAACAACTAAAGGATTATGTCATTCATGCAAAGGAGATCAAGCTATTATGTGACAACACCAGTGCCATTGTTATCACTCAGAATCCAGTTCTTCACTCCAAGACAAAGCACATTGAGATCAGACATCACTTCATCAGAGATCATGTTGAAAAGAAGCACATATGAATGGAGCATGTGTCAACAGAAGACCAGCATGCAGATATTCTGACAAAGCTTTTGCCTGAGGCTAGGTTCAACAAGTTGAGAGAAGAATTGGGAATGATGGATGAAATTCCAAAAGAAAGTTGAAAAGAAAGATCTTCTGTTACAGATTCTCTGTTTACAGAATACCTGTTGCAGAACCCCTTCTGTTCTCTACCTTGAACAGAGAACCTCCGTTCCTAACAGAACACCTCAACAACAGAAACCCTCTTTATCTCTGACAGAAGGTTGTGGACTTAGAAATATTTTGAGAAAACCGGGTGACCTAGTAACTTAATGAAGGTCTTTTACCCTTATACCCTTAAAACGGTATTGCAGTCGCAAAATATTTACTGCGCCCCCATTTTCATTTATTGGTACCTCGGAACCGCCAATAATCTCAAACGTCCACTAACCCGAACCCATATATTCCCCCTTCACAAACCTAAACCGCTACTGCTCTCTTTTCTCTCAAACTCTCAAACCTCCATAGCTCTCAAGCTTTCAAAAATCTTCCTCTGCTCTAATGGCTCCTATCAGTTTCAACGATCTCTCAAAGGATCAACAGGAAACCCTAACCAAGAATGTTCTCACTGGGATGAAATGCGATCTTTTCGCACTCCCAAGACTGGCTGAGGACGAGGAACTGATGGAAAGGATTCTAGAATGCATCAACGACTCCCACCTGGGCAAGGTTATCACCTACAACTACACTCAGTACAGCACTATTGATGTGGTTGAGTTCTATCTCAACGCTGACTACACTGATGAGATCATCACCTCCACTATAAATGGAGAGCAAGTCACCGTCGATGCTGGGGTCATCAACAGCCTCTTCAATATCCAGGTTGATAACGAATCCAACGGTTTTTTTGACCTAGAAGATGCAGAGATCACTGCAGATGTGTTTGCCCTGAACTATGGCAGGCCAGGTGCCAACCTTCCAAAGCTGACAGGGAAGAAACACTCTCTGAAAAGAGACATAGAGCTGCTAGTGAACATTCTTCACAGGTGTGTATGGTGCAGATACACATCCACTGATGAATTCACCATCTCACAAGCCAATTCCATCTATGTTGTGCTGCACAAGGCAAACATCAACTGGGGACAGGTCATTATCAGATCGATGATCGAGTTTGTCAAGGTGGCAAAGAGGAAGAACAAGGACACGGGCATCTACTCTGGGAAGGTAGGTCATGTCTCTGAACTCCTGGTACGGGGAACTGGGCTCAGGAAGCCAATCTTGGTAGATCACTCCAAAGTGATCTTTCTGTCAACTACCAGCAACAGAGATGCTGCAATCAAGGCAGAACTCAAACGGTTGGCAAAGCTAGACCTCAATAGGCAAAAGCTACAGAAACCCTCCCAGCAGAATACTTCCACCAGCTCTGAGAAGGAACCTCTGGTAAGGAAAGTCGTGAAGAAAGCAGTCACCAAGAAAGCAGCTCCAGCAAAGGCCAAAAAGGTTTTGGCCAAGAAACCTAATCCAAAGAGGAAGAGACCCTCTTCTGAGTCCAGCTCACCTACTCCTTCTGCCACCCCAATCCCTAAGAAGCAGAAGACCAGAATCCCTACTCCTCAAGAAACCCCAGAAGCTAAGGGGGAACCAGAAAAATCTAAATCACCTTCTCTGCCAAAACAGCTACTTTTGCAAGGCAAGAAAATCACTTTTGAGTCTAGTGACTCTGAGACTGAGGATATGGTGATGGATGATACCACTCAGGGGGAACAAGGGAACACTATACCACAAGAACACCAAGTGATAACATCATCCCCAGAGCAACAGAATGCCTCTCTAGACAGAGAACTTCAAATTGACTACAGAGCAGCCCTAGACAAGCAATTTGAGCGTGTGTTAACCTGGAGAAGCTGGAGGATGGGGCCTCTACAGAAAATCATTCAGTATTTCGATCACTATGAGTCTGAGGAAGCAGAGGTACTCAACTGGGTAGGCACTGATGATGTTTCTAAGTGTTTTGCCATGAACTTTCTCATTTCTGTTCTTGAGAACCTAGAGCAGTGAAGTGGTGATACTTCCGGGAAGCTCAGTGAAAGGACAAGTCTTAAAGGAAGCCAGGAAGTGCATCCCAGGAGACATCTACACTTGAAGAAGACGTGGAGAGCTTCTTAAGTGATAGGACTAAGGCGTTGTAAACGGACGTTTTTACAAGCTTAGTGGAACAGTGGATTAGAGGAACGAGTTGTTCCTTGAACCACTATAAAAATCCCTAGTGTCATTTACTTACTGCATTTACTTATCGCATTTTGTTAGAACTGATTAACTCCATAGACTTGGTCTCTATGTTCAGCAGAACGTGTCTAGTGAGTTAACAGAAGGCCTACTGCCTTTGCTTCTCAAAGGCTAATCTGACAAAACTCCTACCAGAACCCCATCCGCTGCCAGTCTGTTCTGCCAACAGAACAAGCTGTTCTGTTAAATCTGGTACTTAGTTTGAAAAAGTTAAAAACCAATACAGTCTATTCACCCCCCCCCCTCTAGACTGTATCCAGTACAACCGGGACCAACAATTATACATCTCGTTGTACGGTGAGCACCGTACAGCCATCTCAACAAGGAACAAAATAATATGCAGCGAAACAGACCCATTATAAGTTCATAAGTAACAGGCCCAAGGAAAAAATAGCAAAACAATTCGATGGCTTTTTTGTAATTAATGTGAAAATTGTGGTTTCAGCTAAATGAGCATTACTGAACTGTTAATGACCAATAGTCCAATTTTAATGAGCACCGTGTTATTACTAAAAAGTTGATATCACAACTAAAAAACGGTGACAATTTCGTAATTTCAGTTAAAATCACGATTTTCGTTAGATGAGCATTAATATACTTTTAATGAACATTGGACGTATTCTACTAAACATTAAGAGTCGAATAATGAGTATTGTGATATCAACTTCATATATTGTAATTCACTTTCTTTTTCTTAATTTTTCTTTTATAAAAACTCATCAAATTATATCTACAATCAATTCCTATGAATTTCAATCAATATGCAAATCTAATGTAATATGGTACTTTTGAAATATGCATTGATATGACATTTTAAAAATGAGTTTAACATGACTACCAATTGAGTATAATTAACTTATAGAATTGAGCATTTGTATGAAAATTATAGGTTTTTCTAGTTAAGTGAGCATCAAGACATTTTCATTGAGAATCAAAGATCCTTTTTTGAGTATTATAAACATGCAATTGAGTATCATGATCTATGCTCCTGTATCTATAATCAACTCCTACGTAAATTTAATGTAATATAATACTTTTGAAATATGCATTGATATAACATTTTAAAATGAGAATATCATCAGTACAAAATGAGCATATATTAGTTTCCAAATGAGCAATGATATAAAAATCATAATCTTTGTTAATTAGTTGAACATCAAAACATGTTCGCTGAGCATCAAACCTCCTCTATTGAATATCAAAAACATACAATTGAGTACCATGATCTCTGTTCACATGTATATTATCTAACTCTTATGCAAATCTAACATGATACTTTAAAGTATCCATTTATATGGCATTTTAAAATGAAAATAAAACCAGTACTTAATGAACAAATGTATTTTACAAAATGAGCATCGAAAAATTCAAAAGCTTGTTCGAATTCTCTAATCTAATATAGTAATAAAAATATAGTAATTCTATTTTAAAAATAATTTATAGTCTTGCGTTCTTGAATTACAAATACAATCAGGTTTTTTTTATAATGTTTACTGATGCATATTTATTTAACACTATACACATTTAAGTATAACACAAAACTCATGTTCAATTAAAAATAGAAAAATAAAACATTAATACCTAAAATATTTCATAATGCACAAATTAAGAAAAAGGTTGAATATATAATGCACAAAACATTTTCATAATAATCGAATATATAATTAAAGCAAAAGGTTGCTAAAGAGAGAAACAAAAAAAAAAAAGATAACAAACAATTAGTAAAACAGAAAAAGAAAGCACAAGTGCGGAACTAACAAAAAAATTAAAAAAACAAAGACACAAAAGAAAGGAGAACAACCCAAACGCCGGGGAAGTCCAGGAGTGCATGCGACAAAAAAAGAAAGAGCATAGTAACTTTATCCTAATTATAACCCTTAAACTTCTAACTAATTAGAAAAATGCTGGTTGTACATTTGTACCGTATAATTTACCATCATACATCCCTGCACCTCATCCTTTTTAACTTTAATTTACTAAGATATATGATTAAAATTTGTTCTCACATCTTACAATAATAAATGTTCTCATTAGAATCACTATATATATAAAACTTCACAAAGGGAGCCGGCTCGAAAGAAAACTGATTCGGAATATACATATAAAACGTATTTATTTTTCAAAAATCATTTGACAATCTTCCTGATTGAATTTTTTACTCAAATTTGATATGAATGAACTATACTTAATGAGAAACATACACAAAAAATTTCAGCCTAATATACCACCGAAAACCACCTCAAATTTGGGTTCTCATCTTAAGAGGGTTCTCACTAGAACCCTCCCCTGTATATAGAGAGAGGGGACAATTCATATCACGTGGGCAGAATTACCTTCAGCCATTTGAGGCCTTTTCCGGTAGAATTTTTTGATGATTTTTTAATCATGTTTTTCATTAGTAGTTGAATTAGATCTATAGAGGGGTTGCTCAAAAATTAACTGTTTTTTCATAGTGTTAAATTCCTTTCAAGATGGCTAAAATATGGAAACGAAGGCATTCATTATAGGGCTAAATATGTACTTCCGCCAGGCACACAAAAATAAGAAAAGAAACCTAAAAACAGAGAGAAAAATACTAGAATTGGGCGGCGGCGGCGCTCAGATCTAAGATCATCTATCGGCGTTTCCAGTAGAAACAAACTTCACAAAGGGAGCCGGCTCGAAAGAAAACGGAGCTGCCGGATGCTGCCACTCCTTGAAGGCCGTCGTCGGAGCCTTCTCCGCTTCTCTAGCCTCGCCCTTCTTCTCCCTGTTCGAATTCGAACACAATTTATCTGCTGCGGCCGTCAAATCGTTCGAAGCCGGCGAGGTAACCAACGGCGATAGAAGCGGTATGGCCACATTCCAGTCCTTGGCGCGATTAATCTGAATCGATGCCGGCGCTTTCTTCTGCAAACGACCCGGCTGCCGCCGGTCACCTGAGAAATACTTGTTATTCTCCGCCATTATTAGAATTGTTGTTGTTATAATTACAATAAGGAGTCTATATATAGGAGAGAGGGAGAAGTACAATAAAGATTTCTTAGAGAGATGAAATGGCGGATCTGAAGAGAGATTATTGTTGTTAATCTCAAAAAGTACTATAGTGATAACTGTTAAGAAAGATGTGCATTATAAACCCGGAGCATTACGATTACTATATAGGGTATGTGGTGTACGCACGTTGGTTGGGAGGGGTTAGGACAGGTGTAATGTAATATGGGAAAAAATCGCGACGAGATCCAGTCAATGGTCAAGGGAGCTAACTTTGTAGTAAAAGTTTAATTAATTATGTTGTTGTCAGCCTGTCACAACTCACATGAGCGGATAGGCTTGTGATGAATTAGGTAGGTGTGTTACGCATAATTATACCTTAACATCGGCTCATCATGTGCATGAGAGGTATTTGACTGGAGAAGGAAACAGGTTCCAATCGCATGGTCATCGTCACAGATTCACTTCGGATTGAGACTCACTCCAGCGACCTCTGTTCGTTGCGTGCGCGCTCTTGTGTTTCACCGACATAGATTACGGCTCCTTTAGCTTTGTGCGCCGGAAAGCTCTGCGGCTGTATTTGAATCCCACCGAGCAAAAGTAAAATCCCGCCAATTAAATCCGGAAAGCTCTGCGACTGTATTTGAATCCCACCCAGCAAAAGTAAAATCCCACCAATTAAATTCATGCATTCATACATATACGGAGTATTTGAAGAGAAGCAAAGAAGTCAATCTTATACACACACACACACTCCGCATATAAGATTGACTTCTTTGCTTCTCTTTAAATACTCCGTATATGTATATATATATATATATGTCATTTGTGGAGAAGCCGGTCCTGATAATCACATCGATAGATAATCACACCGAGGCCGAGGGGGTCGGTCGTGATATGAGGACAACGGCGATGAGGAGCCGGTCCTATAATATGATGACGAGGCGCTGATGAAGCCGATCGTCATATAAAGGCGATGGTCACCATCCGGGAAGGGATGGCGATCTTACACACACACACACACACACACTCTGCATATAAGATTGACTTCTTTGCTTCTCTTTAAATACTCCGTATATATATATATATATATATATATATATATATATATATATATATATATATATATATATACATATATATATATATACATATACATATATATATATACATATACATATATATATACATATACATATATATATACATATATATATCTATATATATATATATATGTATATGTATATATATATATGTATATGTATATATATATCTATATGTATATGTATATATATATATATATATATGTATATGTATATATATATATATGTATATGTATATTTATATATATATATATGTATATGTATATATATATATATATATATACGCCCGGTCGGTAAACCATCAAAAACAGTGGGACAAATGCCGGGGAACACTTGCCAAGTATTATAAACTTATAGGAAGAAACATACATCACAGAAGAGGGGGACCAAACCAAAACCTCCTCCCAACCAAAAAATGAGAACATCAATTAATCCTCTCCTTAATAGCACTACAATCCTTACAAAAGAATTCCCGCTCACCTGACCTCTCATTTTTATCCGTCAGATTTTATCGCACTAATCTACGGCTTCTAACTTCCTTCCTTCCTTCTACACCTCAATTCACCTAAACGCGAAATCATATCATCCCTATCGCCAATTCTTCTTCTCAAATCTGAATAACCTCAACAAATGAAGGTGCTGCTCCCTCCCAGATCTTTCGATGCTCTTGGTTCCTTCTACATCTCACACTGCCGAATGCCTGAAATACCTTCACTCATATCATCCCCTCACCTCAACAAATGGATGGTGCTGCTCCCTCCTGCGAGATCGTTGGGTACCGCTATCGCCGCTCATCCAATCCTTCGTCTCAGAGTTACAGAGCTACCGGTATTCGTCCAAATCCCGTTCATTCATATAATCCCTAGATCGACTAATTCTTCTTCAGTATGTTTTTGGTTAAATTAACTCTTCTTTGTATATCTTCTTCGTTATTTGTCGAGCATTTTCCCTATAGATCCTAAAAAGATGTCATCCAGACAATACTTCTGAGTTCTGACTTCCAATAGAACCAATTGTCTTAGTGCACTTACATGGACCATGTAAGTACTTCTGCGTGCTCTTCATTTTCTGAAAGAGTTAGTTCAATTTAGTTTCCTAATTTATGTTAAATAGGGTTCTTCAATACCATATACCATATTCACACCATTTGACAATACTTTTTAATGTCATAGTTTCCATATTTATTTTTAAATTACATTTACTAATTTTGTGTATTCTCAAATGCTACAACCCTCAAAGGATATGAGCCCAGACTTGGGAAATGGATCCTAATCACACTAATGGTATATGGGATAGTTTGTTATCTTTCAACATATCTTATTCAATCTTAGTCATTCTTCTTCAAAAAAGAAGATAAAATAGTTAAGCTTCACATTCACATTTACCATGGAGTATTAAATAAAATGCTCCTGTCAATCACATGTTTCAACTTCATTTAGATATATCAGGTTGGTTTTTTTTACCTTGGATTCTTCACCACTTATTATATATTTATCATGTGAATATAAAAGAATTTGTTCTGCTAATCAAGTTTATTGTTGTTTCCCTGCTCTTAAATTTCGATTCCAATTGAGAATACAAAATCAAAGTGAAAGATAAGGAGTTTCATGTGACTCTTAATCTCTTTTTCCAATCTGCTACTTCAACAAATTTTTGGATGATAAGCCTTGAAGGATTTTGTTTTTTAGTTTGTGAGTTTTGGATGATGAAGCTACTGTCTCATAATTTAGTACCAAAGTGTTATACAAGTTATACAAATTAGATAGTATTTGCTTTTGGGTGGTTTAACCAAAGATCCTCATGCTTCTGTAATTATTTTCATCTCATAAGTAGTACGAAATTAACGAAAAACTTTCAAAAAGGAAATAAATGCTTCTGTAAAAAAATCATTTCATATGCTACTTATTTCATAAGTAGTATAAGCATGAGTGACAATCTATACTGCTTGGCCAAATTCATTTCTTTGTTTTCTAAATACCTATTACAGAAAGAACTGCCAGTTAAGTCACATTAACTATATTAATAGATATTGTGTTGAGTGAATAAAATGAACCAGTTCTATAATGAAGAAGTCATGATATAGTCTTATTGATTACGACATTTTTTGAATTTTAATTGCATGCTGCTGAGCATAGATACCCTGCTCCACATATAGGTAAGCATTGAGAAGAAAAAAGTGCAGATTCATTTTCTAGCTTTTAGTACTTACTAATGCACTATATGAAGTTCGGTTCTTTAGTTTTTTAGCCTTTAATTTCATTTCATTGTACAGAAATGACTTTTTATTCTAATCGAAAGATTATAATAGAAATGTTTTTTTACAGAAGCATATGAATAACAGATTTTAGTGGATTCTCGAAAGCTGAAGTATAGTTCTCTAATAATGTGCCTCTGTTTTTGCTTATTTAGTGTAAATGTAAGCTATAAATTTGGTAAAAAAATTGTAACACTTGAAACATCTTCTTCGATTTAATCCTCCTTCACCATCCAGATCAATTTCAGTTTTGAAAAACGGCTTCATATACTTCATTATATTTCTTCGATTATACTTCGATTTAAACTTAGATTTTCTTTTCAATTCTCTTCATTATCGAACATTTAGAACTTCTATTTGGGTAATAGTTTTATCTACTTCTATGGCTGCAACGAGACACTACTCTCTAAGAAATGTCTTTATTACTTCTCTTCTCTAAATAAGAGAAGAGAAAAAACAATTACAATATGAGTAAATATGATCAATTGAACATGAATTTGATTTCATAATGACTTGGTTTAAATATATATTTTCACCTGAACCACCAAGGATTGAGAACAAGATAAACAGGCAGTTGACTTTTGCAAAGAGAAGGAATGGATTGCTGAAGAAGGCCTATGAGCTGTCTATCCTTTGTGATGCTGAAGTTGCTCTTATTATCTTCTCCAATAGGGGAAAGCTCCATGAATTTTGCAATACCTCAAGGTATGTGTATCCTTTGCAGTTGCTGAATTTTGAATCAAGATCAATGCTTAGTTCTGTATTTTTTGGGTGGTTTTAGCATGCTAAATCTGTATAACCTGATGTTAAATTGACTCATTGTTGTATTTCCTTTTCGTTATTTGTCGATTTCTCCTATACATTCTAAAACGATTAAAACCTTATATGAAAAACACACACTATATCCTACTCAAATGTTGCTGGATGGGAAAGGCACAGGAGATTGGTCACAGTTTTTTTTATAACATTTCTTTGGGATAAACTTCCTATAGTTCTTTGCTGGATATAGTGTGTGTTTTTGGTGGATAGGATACACAACATAAATAGGAAGTTCTTTAGTTGATCCTTCATTTATTTATTTTTAAATTACATTTACTAATTTTGTGTATTCTCAAATGCTAGGTGAAAAATGGGAAGAGGGAAAATGGAACTGAAGAGGATTGAGAACAAGATAAACAGGCAGTTGACTTTTGCAAAGAGAAGGAATGGATTGCTCAAGAAGGCCTATGAGCTGTCTATCCTTTGTGATGCTGAAGTTGCTCTTATCATCTTCTCCAATAGGGGAAAGCTCCACGAATTTTGCAATACCTCAAGGTATGTGTATCCTTTGCAGTTGCTGAATTTTGAATCAAGATTAATGCTTAGTTCTGTATTTTTTTGGGTGGTTTTAGCATGCTAAATCTGTATAACCTGGTGTATGATGGTAAGGATAAGTACTCGTTTAGCCCATTTGATTTTTAAAAGTGCTAAAGAAACATTTATAAATCATGTGTAGGTCAAAAGTATTCAAGCCATGATTCAAGTTTTGCATATGGCGTTGCCAGACATCATCCTATCCATACTATTAACCCTCTTGATTATAAGTCCTGATCATAGGTAAGACTTTATCATAGATTGTATGTTATGTTTTGATTATAAGTACATTTTTTCAATTCTGATTCAACCAATTGATTATGTTTTGGTCATTTGATTCTTAAAAATAAAACAAGCAACTTCTAGAGAATTCTGAAAATGAGAGACCTCTTCATATACAATAGGATTACAAATTAACCTCATATGAAAATATACTTCATTTGTTGCTAATCACATGCTTCCTTTTTCACTATGATAAACCAAGACTCCAAGAGGAAATAAGTTTACTTATGATAATACTATAGTGCTTTAAAGAACTGAAGTTTATTTGATGCAGACTTTAATGAATTTCTTCATTAATAACCAAAACGTATATGTAAACTTACTCAAATGCAGTACTTACTACCTGAATACTATAC